ATCTGAGTTTGAGCACGAGAATGGTTACGTGAAAAGGGTTCCATGACCGACTTAACTTGGATCATACATATGATTCACGGGTGTTGTATCGAGACGCTTGCTTCGGATCCTTAAATGACACCGTTTACTTGGTCCTGTTAATTTTTCAGCATCCTCATCTGTGTTGTTCTATCTTCATTTAACGCAAAGTGCTACACAACTTGACATTTAACGCAAAGTGCTACACAACTTGACATTTTATCATAGATACATCACTGGAAGTTTATACCAATACATGCTTCAGATGCTGGATATAACCCAAAGATATTTCTTTTATATTTAAGTCATAAAAATGTATAACTTCTCATTATTTTAAATCTTTAAAGTTTGACAAGTAAGTCATCATTTTCTTAATTTAAATTAGAAATATTTGAAATTAAGTAAACTTTAAATTTGATTTCTGTCTTAAAAAATCCACTTTGCGGTTGATATCCATATTCTAATAAATATTGGTATTATACTGAATTTTACATTGTATTTAGGGTTTGGTGATTTATGACATGATGTAATTTAGAAAGGACCGTAATTGGTTTTAGGAAATCTTGACATATGTGTGTCTGAAGGAGAAATTGTGGTTAAACTGTAAGGGCCAACTTTTTCAGAAACGTCGCCTCAATGAAGACTTGTTTGTGTTCACCGAAAGATATTTGATAAACTGAACCGAAAATATAAACGCCAGTACGAACGTCAGGAACGTCAAAAATTACACGATCAAATGGTAAGGGATTCACCCAGGGATTTTTTGGAGATCGATAGGTCATATTGGTGTGGCTAATAACACGAACAAAGAAATACCGTGCGAGGTCGTGGATGATACAGGACAACTTCATTCGGATAGAAACACTGTTTTAAATAAATGGAAACAAGACATTGAAAATTTGTATTCAAATAAGGGTGTAGTACCTGACGTTAACTACAACTCACACAACGTCTGGGAAGGCACGGCAGTGGACGCGACCGAGTTACCAGGGAGGAGGTTGAAAAGGCTGTAGATTCTGCAAAGTTACACGAAGCGGCCGGCATAGATGAACTACCAGCAGAGGTGCTAAAAAATAACACAGCGATAGAATTGCTATATAAAATATGTGATGGGTGTTTCGAGTTTGGTCACGTCCCTTCCTATTGGAACAGTGCTATTATAAACCCAATATATAAACCCAACTCCAATGTACCGTTAAATTATAGAGGAATTTCTCTTTTCTCTTACCCTGGACAGGGATATCCACCATTTTACCGGTGTGAGATTTTCTTTTCTCTTACCCTGGACAGGTGTATCCGCATTTTTACCGGTGTGAGATTTCCTTGTCTCACCCTAGGCTTGAGACGGGGAGGATTCCCCTATTCATAACAATGGCATGACGTCACTTCAACAATACAATGACGTCACGTCAACAATCCATTAACAATTTGCCTGTATGTGTTTTGGGTCCATGTTTACCTTTATTTCACATTAAAATACTGTTAGATATGGGAGAAAAATAATCAATCGCTACTGGTTGTGTAAGATAGAGAAATCTCAACCCTCGGACTAAGATTTTTTGTCCAGAACTCGGCAAGCCTCGTTCTTGACAAAAAATCTTAGTCCTCGGGTTGAGATTTCTCCATCTTACACAACCAGTTGCGATAGATTCTATTAATCTCACCCCCAAGGGGTGAAATATTCTATTAATCTCACCCTAGGGTTGAGACAAGCTACACGTGCTCTTTGCACGTTCTGAACAATTGTATGACGTCATAGCAACAATACCATGACGTCACGGCAACAATACAATGACGTCATGTCGACAGTTCAATCGCATCATATCAGCATTGTCTTGCATTGATGTAACGGCAATGTTAGATAGATAAGAGGGTAAACAGGGTAAGAGAAAAATAATCACTCACCCCCTTGGGAGTGAGACAGGGGATCTCAACCCTCGGGGTAAGATTCTTAAGCTGGCAACTTAAGAATCTTACCCCTCGGTTTGAGATCCCCCTGTCTCACTCCCAAGGGGGTGAAAGATTCTATTAATCTCAGTCCCCTGCAAAATATATTGAAATGTACTCAATGCTAGGTTTTCGCAAAAGACGTATAGCTGTGAAGATCATAGTTTCTCGCTGTACTCCGTTATTATTACAAGGAAAGTTAACGTCGTATTGACATGGTGTAATGACTGGAAACTGTCTGTAAACCCTCCAAAACTAAAGCAGTTCGTTTTAGGAACCAATCCATCCAGAAAACGGCGTCTCATTTAACTGCGGTACGTGTGATATTGAAACTACTGATTCGTATAAATACTTAGGAATATGGCTGGACGAGCACTTGAAAATGCAAAGGGCTGTAACAGAGTTATCGCAATAGTAAAGTTCATTGCGTCGGGTGGTTTGACCTACGATGTTTTTACACGTCTTTATAACTCAGTAGTAAAACCAGGGCTTATGTACGGCAGTGCTATATTGGGAACCAAGTTGTATTCGGTTATAAACATTGTGCAGAACAAGGCATGTCTTTTCTTTCTAGGTGTTGGAAAATATACCCCCCAATATTGCTACCAGAGGTGATATGGGGTGGCGATCGTGTCTTTACTATTTAATTATGTAAAATCCGCAGACTCGAGGATCGTCGTATACAGAGCAAACTACTTGACTGGTCATCTCGACAACGACAAGGTTAGAATGCAACAGTACAGCGTCTGTGTGACGATATAGACACGGATAACCTAATATCCAATCGGAATCTTTCATCGCAATGTGCAATGAATAATCTCCTGCCTAAATTAGTATTTTTAAAAAGATAGTTGTGAATGGCAAACCATCGTAATAATGTTAACTGCATTAAGTTTCGTACATATACACGTTTAAGAATGACGTTACTGTTGAGCGTTACAACGCTCTAGTGGACATTCCAAGACGTAACAGGCGTAACCTCGCGGGCTCAGTAGGTACCACTGGCCATTGAGACGGGACGATACGCCAGGCCGCCCGTTCAACAAATGGACAGACTTTGTACGAATTGTGACCTGCATAAAGTGGACGATTAGAAACATTTCCTTATAGAATGCAAGTTGTACAATGACATGAGAAATGATATGTTTGAAAAATGCTCAACTGTCATTGACGGATTCTTTAATTAATATGGACACGGATAATAAATGTATAAGTATAATGAAAAACGGTGATATCCAGCCAACACTAGCGAGCTATATTACTTTTTTCTTTCATAGAAGAAAAGATTTTCATAGAATTTAATTATTTAGTAGTATATTCAGCTTACACCATGTACGAGAAGGACGTTTCTACCTTTGAATTTATGTCAGTACAACACAGTATATTTCGGATTTGTATAATATTTTATAATATGTTATTTGGGTCCTACTCAACTCAAGGGCCTGTGTACAACGCTCGTGTTGCTTTACAATGAAGGGCACTCCTTCTCCAAACCGTTTTCATTGTAATTTTATTCCTTACTGATTGAGTCGGGGTCAGAAGTAAGAGCTAGCCTGATAGAGATCCCCTCAATAGGCCGACTCTAGTCCATCCCCCCCACTTCGTGATCATTACTTATCTAATCAATTATGATCTGACGTATGTCTTATGTTTATTTATTTACTGCGGTGTGATACATTGATGGTATGTGATAAATAGAGCCCTTCACTCGTGCCAGTTTGGGGCGGGGTCTGACGAGCTGGTACTTTGTTTAGGAGCGAGTGCGTTTTTAACGCATTTTGTTTTTTCATCCGAAGGATACGCTCGTCGGACTCCGCATTAAACTGACATCGGTGCGGGGTTCTGTATAATATTACGTATAGTAATAAGTCCCGACATGATATTCTAACTTCTGTCAATGAATTGATCAATAAAAAATGTATCGATAATGATTATTAGTGTCTCATAAGTCAACCAATAATGGCTGGGTATTGATCGTTTTTTAATTTGTATTATTTATGATTGTGATTTGTATTTTACTGTCGATCAATGCGTGACACTTTAACGAACTAATATTTATCTTATCTTATCATATGTTTTCGATGTGCCGAGCCTATTTACATTCATGGCTGTCAGAGTTTTACCTGTAGCGGAACTGGACCAGGTGCATGTAGCTCAATTGGTAGAGCGTCTGTCTAGAGTTAGGGGGGAAGGGGGGTCCCAGGTTCGAATCTCAATCTGGTCGTTGCATTTCTCCTTCTCCTGTTACATATTTAAGTGTTTGTGATGTTCCACAAAGGCCATACTAACAAAAAAGAACTTTTTGGTCGGATATCTAGTTCCGAATGCGAGTTAGAAGTATCTGGATTAAACTTAACAATTAAAGTATATACGTATTGTTCCGCCAATTTAAGAATCGTAGTTAAACCGTTATTAATATGATATGTTTCAATTACTACTGGCAATTTGTCCGAGAAGGAATAAAATGTGTCATCTGAGAATAATGAATAATTTAGAGAGGCTTAATAGATTATCAGTTATAGTAAAAATAGTAGGGGCCTAATTCTAAGACTTCGTTTTGGCATCGATTATTTTCCCGTCTGTGATTTAAAGTTATGTAGAACCAATTGTACCCTTCGATCATAGTTTCGTTGTAATGCAACCAGTCAAATCAATGTCCCCTCCCTTCTAAAATATTGTTTGGTTAAGAGTAATTCCACAATCAGACATGGTCGAAAGCTTTAGGTAACAGGAGTGTTACAGGTATCATCATATGTATTTCGGCCAATTAACTCTAATGTACAGTTGAATAACCTTTATTAGTTTTCCTACTCGCCGCTAGTTTCGCCACGAAAGAACAGTCTAGCTGAGAGAAATTATATTAAAGCAGGTAGGCCTAATACGTTTAAAATATATTAAGATATGGATATCTGCCTGCATCCATTATTTATCCTATAGGTCAGGGATGTGTATAGGTAAAGGAAAGTAGAATTTTGAGACATTCGGAATATCTCGGTTGTCTTTAGGAGGCTTCACATAATCGGAACGTATCGGTCGCCATTAGGGCATTAATGAATGTGGTTTATGAAGATGAAGTAGGAGAGTGAACACAAGTTTATGCACAAAACAGTTTACCGTTGATAAATTCTACTTCAGTAAGGAGAGAAGACAAGATGGCAGAGTCAAAACGGTAAAAGATATGTCGTATGTGTGCAGTGTGGTGTTTGTCGTTGTCGTTTGCTTCCGGATCAGGGAGATGTGAAGTAGGCCTACTGCACCCAGGGGGTTCACAGCAAGATAACATATCAATATAGGGATTCGTTGTGAGAGAAAAACAATTTTCCTATCTAATATATATATCTGTCTAGTCGCAGATGCTGGAACAAACTAACATACCAATGATGTATACTATATGATAATAAACAGTGTTTCCCATGGATTTCAGTTTTTGGGGTTATTTAATTGGATTCCGTACCACCAGGTCTTTATGTAGTTACATGGAGTTCAACCCAGGAAAGGTTACAGACTGCACTTTGAGTTGGATTGGTTGCACTGTGGATGGAGGGTCCATGGGGAATGGGGCGAGGGGCTGGATAGTTTACCAAGTCAAAATTTCTCCAGCTTTATTGGTCATTTCCTGTAAGAGAACATTGTAGGTTGATGGAGTAATTAACAGATTATTTCCTATCTGTCATTCCAAACCGGGCGCGTCTAATTACCCAATACTACCCAATACCACCCAATACTGCCCATACGACCCAATTATGAACCAATACTTCTTTATTACTGTGAAATATCACCTTTGTAGACGGTAGTTACTTCCATCTGACATATTTTATCGGGAAATATGCGATTTGGTGCCGAAAACATCACCGAATTGCCGTGACTATGCCCCAATACTACCCAATACCACCCAATACTGCCCATACGACCCAATTATGAACCAATTCTTCTTTATTACTGTGAAATATCGCATTTCTTGGAAGTTATTTACTTCTATCTGCCATATTTTATCGGGAAATATGCGATTTGGTGCCGAAAACATCACCGAATTGCCGTGACTATGACCCAATACTACCCAATACCACCCAATACTACCCATACGACCCAATTATGAACCAATACTTCTTTATTACTGTGAAATGTCACAGTTATTTACTTCTATATGTCACATTCTATCTGGAAATATGCGATTTGGTGCAGAAAACATCACCGAAATGCCGTGACTAGGGGTTCGACGATTTACAGGAACGGGCAGAAATCTATTAATTTTTATATAGGCCTATACATTAATGAATATATATATTAGATCAGAGACGTATATAACACAGTTATGGCTTTATACGTCTCTGATTAGATACATTAAAGTATCATTATCGGGTATAAGATATATTTGATAAAATGATTGCAATTACATGATCGCCATTCGGGGCAGAATCGGACTAAATTATATATATATTTATATTTATATTATTATATCTTTTTTATCGGGTACAAGATACGTCATTTGATAAAAGGATTGCAAAGAATTTAAAAAAAAGTATTGTATTGATATGGATCGGGCAAGAACGGTCGACGATTTACAGGAACGGACAGAAACGGGGCAGGATCGGACTTATTTATATATATTTATTGTATATATTTAATTATCCTTATCTGGTATAAGGTATATTTGATAAAAGAATTGCAATTACAGGAACGGGGCAGGATCGGACTAAATATATATATATATATATATATATTGCCAGGCCGAGGTTCCAATTTATGTCTCTGTTTTATTCTATAAAAAAGGGTTGTTCAGAGAATTATATATTACATATTACATATATAATAAATATGTATCTGAGTTATTTTCTCATTTATATATATGACATTGTTATTGCAATGTCATAACACCTGAAACATTGGAAATGACATTATGATAACTAAATTTTAATAACTTCATAACTTATACTCAACTCTTAATAAATAGCATGAATATATTTTGAGTGAATTAATTGGTGTTAATGTGTAGATTACAATCCCATCACGTCTACGATCTTAAAAAAAAGAAAATACGCAATTTTCCAACTCAAAAAAGGGACATCAATCTGAAAATTAAATATTATTCTATATGTAAATATAAGTTAATTGAAATACGTGTTTTACGTAAATAAATATTGAAGTCCATATGTTGGATTGTTAGGCCTTATCTGTTATAGAAAAACGATACTGTATATTAATTGTATATGTAAAGAAGAAAGAAACACGGTGAAACGCTTTAAGTTTCATTTTTTTTCAAAGGCCGATGTGGTCAAAACTGATTATCTAATTCCGTAATAGTAGACAATAGACTTCTTGTTCCAATGTTCAAGCTGGTTTTAGGAAAGGCTACTCTACAACTGAAAATATATTTATCCTTCATGCTTTAATATCTATATACGTTTCAAAAAGTAATTTTGGGGTTTGAAAATACCAATATGATTGAGAAATTACGTGTACAGTTTTGTTAAAGAATTTTAAACATACGTAGCTCCACAGCAAATATAATGGTATATGGTGAAACGGGTAGGTACTCGCTGGATATTGAAATTAAATCTAGAATGATAATGTTTTGGTATAAACTAATTACAGGTGAAAATAAATTGTCTAGTATAATGTACAAGCTTATGCTGAATTTACATAAAAATGATTTCGCTGATTTTAAATGGATTTCATATATCAAGAATCTATTCAATTGCACGGGACTAAGTTTATGTTTAAAATTAGATATTGTACACGGAATTAGATAAAGTCCGTGGTTATGCATTCATATAACTTGATGTTTTTAAAGACTTAAATTTGTTTAAATAAATTTGACGAGTATTTAGTAAGAGTAGATTTACTTTTCACGACCATGTATCTTTAGTATATATTGGAACAAATCTATATTTATACATATTATATCGATAGTTGTTATAAATAAAAAAAAATCCGTAGAATGTTCATGTACGTCAATACGTTTATAACGTTCATTGCATAATAAAATTATTTAAACATTTGTTCTAATTTAGTTGACTACAAGTAATTTTGGGGGAAATCCTCTATTTGCCAATTCTATTCAAAATTTATCTCCGTTTTCGTCGTCATTGCATATCCAATATATATATATATATATATATAGTTAAGTCAAGTCAAGTCAATTTTGTTTATTATAGTGTCATATATCACAATTACATCGTACAAGTATATAGTTACACAGTATAAACACATATAGTTACATAATTTATAATATCATAATTTTGTTAAGAACAGCTATTATACATAATACATTAATAAATTAAAACAAACTATCACATGTGCCAATCCAGAGAGCAGGTGATTGGGACAGCCCCTACCTAACAAACTCCTGGATTTTGTCCTTACATATTACATACTATAATAGTTAAAAGGTTTCTTTTATATTTACTGCCTTAAAACATGATGTCTTTAAAAAAACAATAACAATGGTGATAAATAAAATGAATAATTTCCTAGTTCTACATTGTAGTGAAATTTAGATTTCCAAGGGTTGGGGAGCCCCCTTCCAGCGAGGTCTGCTAAATTCACACTAACTAGTAGCTAATTATATTTAAACGGAAGATTATTTTCATAAAAAAATGTTTCTGATTGACACCTGGTATCATATTTAACAAATGCATTAAATAGAAAATGTAATTGTATATGATGTTCAGCCTAAAATGGCTTACAAGACACTGTTTAAAATTATAACTAATCACATAGACTGCTACGTCTTCTGTACATATTATATAAGTGGTTTGCAAGTGGAATTTGTAATTCCTCGGAAGACATTATAAAATTAAATTATAATATATATATTTACCTGTAACTGTGATTTAGATCACGGACTTAGATGTTAAATAAAATTGCAACATCACGGTATCTACCATGTATCTATAGAGATCACATTTACTTGAGATGGCCAACGAGTTGAATAAAGTATATGTGTATACAGTATCTCTTGGAGTCGAATCAAGTTTTCATGTCATTTAGTATTTTGCTTTCGGATGATCAAAGACGTATATATTACGTAATGTAATATATACGTCTCTGGATTGATGTATAAGAAGCGTAACGTAATTCCTTTTATTAATCTATTTAATTTTTACATTACTTAATGACAACCTACTCGTCTACCCTTCATAAGATTGGTCAGGGAACTATATATGGAAAAAATATCTAGCTTGTCCAAAACAGACTATCTGTGAGTTAATCAAGTAATTGAAAGGACTTCGAATCATATACAATCCATATACTTTTTGAATTTCGTAGTATTTGAGTATCTAATTTAACTGAAGGTTCTTCTCCAGCATTGTTATATAATTGATACTGTTATGTTTAACAAAATTGAATAACTAACATTTATGAAAAGTAATTTAAAATTTTCTAAATATTTCCTGCTAAATTTATATATATGATCTTAATAACATCATTTTATGACATGAATAGAATTAATATAGTACGTATCATGTAATTGCAATTCTTTTATCAAATATATCTTATACCCGATAATGATACTTAAATGTATCTAATTAAATATATATATTCATCAATGTATATATAATAATTAATAGTTTTCTGCCCGATCCTGCCCGTTCCTGTAAATCGTCGAACCCCTAGTCACGGCATTTCGGTGATGTTTTCTGCACCAAATCGCATATGTCCAGATAGGATGTGACATATAGAAGTAAATAACTTCAAGAAATGCGATATTTCACAGTAATAAAGAAGTATTGGGTTCATAACTGGATCGTATGGGGTAGTATTGGGTGGTATGGGGTAGTATTGGGTCATAGTCACGGCAATTCGGTGATGTTTTCGGCACCAAATCGCATATTTCCCGATAAAATATGGCAGATGGAAGTAAATAACGTCTACAAAGGTGATATTTCACAGTAATAAAGAAGTATTTGGTTCATAACTGGGTCGTATGGGGTAGTATTGGGTAGTATTGGGTGGTATTGGGTAGTATTGGGTAGTATTGGGTAATTAGACGCGCCGTTCCAAACCCCCTAATCCTTCTGTTTTTCTGGCCTTATGGTGCAGGTAAAATTGATCTTTTGGTGGAGGCAATCAGAGACCTATAAAGCCAGAAGTATATACGTCTCTGAGACAATGTTAAGTAGTCAATAGCAACTTTGGTTGGTTTTAAAGAGATAACATTATGCTAGGGTACAATATAGACATCAGTATACATATACGGCTGTCAACTGAAAATGAAGCGATGGCTTACTTTGAAAGGGTTCAGGAAATGTTCCAATTGCCAAAAACCAGTCGCATTGGAAACGTTAAATGTCGAATTTATAACCAACATATTCCCACATCTTTTGATCAAGGCAAGAGGCAGAAAGGGATGTTTTATTAATTCATAGCACTTAAAGTAGACCTGTATTGGGCAAGGGAGATTGTTAAAACTGCCCAGTTGCTGTTGTTAAAAGAATCTATATTATTTATACTGCATGCTATAGTATACCAGAACATTTTCACAAAGAAAACTTTACTCTTTAAATTAAATTCACCCTTCACATTTAATTACTATGTACATTATGTTGGTTACAAGTGTTCACTACAGAGGGCAAAATAGGTGAAAAATAAACTACAGCAAACATTTCGGATTCACAGTATATATTTTAACCGGTTTGGTAGTTTTCCTTCTATAATTATTAAACGCAACACATTAACTTCTGCTTCCCTACAACTGTTTTACTGGTCATGTGATTTAAGTGGTGTTTGCCACCATACAACTGTTGACAGTCTGATCATGTGATTTAAGTGGTGTTTGCTACCATACAACTGTTGACAGTCTGATCATGTGATTAACAGGTCTGTATTTTCTATCCGACAACTGTTGACTAATCACATGATATGTAAGCTTTCGCACCTAATTTTCAAATATCCTGATGACCATGACAAAGAATGCAGGATGTTCATCTAGCTGCTGTCACCATCCCCATGATCGTTCACCATCCCCAGGATCGTTCACCATTCCCAGGATCGTTCACCATCCCCCGGATCGTTCACTATCCCCATCATCATTCACCATCCCCATGATCGTTCACCATCCCCATGATCGTTAATTGGTGAAAACATTCAAGATACATCTATTAACAATGAAGCATTGCTGCATTGAATTGAAAACCATTAGAAAGGGGTCGGTAGAATCATGAATTCATTATTACAGATGATCAATTTGCAAATCAGATCCAAACTACTTAAAACAATTAACGTCAAAAATCTCACAAATTGAAAAACCCGCCGGAGGGAGATATCCCACATTGGGCTCCATGGAGGTTGGCAACCCTGGTGTAGTCGATGAGCGACACCTCCACAGAAATCCTACAGTGACATCGTGAACTAAGAACAACATGATTTAGTTACTGTAGATTACTATAAGAAATCTAGATGTTATATATATATATTTATATATAGCCTTATTATAATGGTGCTGTTTGCAGTGAGGTCTGCTCAGAAGGAACAGAGGAAATGGTGGAGGCCCTAAATGACCTCCCTGGTACAGAGGACCTAGACGATCTATCTCTACCGGCCCCTCCCAAACCATTCAAAGATTTCTACCAAGGAGGTAAGGGTAAACAATAATGTTAGGAGTCGAAAAAATTACAAACCATGAGTTGATCACCGGTCAATTGGATCCGAGTTTATGTCTCAGCCATTCTCACATTTCTTTTTATAAATCCTATCATTTGAGAGAAAGAATAGATAACTGGATTTGAAATCATCAATCACAAAGTCGGAGTTTGTGTGATGGGGCAGCAATTATCATATGTCCAATGTCAGCTTTTACCTTAAACAAATGTTTACTGAACAATAAGGCCTAGAGTCATATTTCCTTTGTAGCTTGCTTTTGGTTCGGTTGTGTTTTACGTCCTATTAACAGCTATGGTCATTTAAGGACCAGCCAGGTTTTGGTGGTGGAGGAAAGCCGGAGTTCCTGGAGAAAAACCACCGACCTACGGCCAGTACCTGGTGACTGCCCCACTTGGGCCTTGAACCCGCGACCCAGTGGTGAAAGGCTAGTGGTAGCAGAATGTCAGAGGCCTTAACCACTTGGCCACCGTGACCCAGTGGGGGAGGGCTAGTGGTAGCAGAATGTCAGAGGCCTTAACCACTTGGCCACCGTGACCCAGGGGTGGAGGGCTAGTGGTAGCAGAATGTCAGCCGCCTTAACCACTTGGCCACCGTTGCCCAGTGGTGAAAGGCTAGTGGTCGCAGAATGTCAGACGCCTTAACCGCTTGGCCACCGTGGCCCAGTGGTGAAGGGCTAGTGGTTGCAGAATGTCAGACGCCTTAACCGCTTGGCCACCGTGGCCCAGTGGTGAAAGGCTAGTTGTAGCAGAATGTCAGACGCCTTAAACACTTGGCCACCGTGGCCCAGTGGTGAAGGGCTAGTGGTTGCAGAATGTCAGACGCCTTAACCTCTTGGCCACCGTGACCCAGTGGTGAAAGGCTAGTGGTAGCAGAATGTCAGACGCCTAAACCACTTGGCCACCGTGGCCCCTAGTTGCTGCAATGGATTATTATCACTTATCTAAATAAACAATCTAGACACTCTCATATCTACATAAAGGGGACAAATGTGTTCACATATATATAATAATCTTTATTCAGCAATAGACACAAATGTCTTTGTGCCATAAATACATTGCATATACAAGGATATATGTAGTGGTACAATGCATTAAATTACATAAATATATTATAAGTAAAACAGTGACTTTCCATACTTAAATGCAGGTTTCACGACATCAGGGCGGACGTTACTCCTGATTAAATAAGTTAATTTTCCGTATCTCATTCGCTTTAAAAATGAAAGCGGCAATATTTTTCAATGTACTCTTGCTCCTAGTCGATATTAATTCCAGGAACTTTGGTCTATTTGGGTGATGAAAATACCTTCTCTTGATATACATGTGTCTTATGTTAGAATATAAGGTACACTCCATAAGGAAATGATACTCGTCCTCTAAAACCCCACAACTACATGTACGATTCGCATATGGAATAGGGGTTCGGTCTGTGCCAACGGCCTACCTCAACACTCAAACGATGAGAAGAGACTCTAAATTTTGTTAACGCTATACGAAACTTTTTTATGTTGACAAGGTCGAGATATAGTTTATATTCGAAGTTATTAGAAAGATTAACATAAAATCTTGCTCTAGTAGAGCCAGATAATTCCCTCTGCTAATTTTGAACAAAAATGTCTTTAATTCTAATTTTAAATAAATGCATAAAGGCTTCTATACTACCTACAGACTGCATGTACCAAACATATCCAAAACCATTCGTAAAAAGAAGTTCTTTTACCGCACTAGCCCAATTTTGTTTAGAAAACTGTTCAGCGTCCTGATACAAGATGTTATATACTGATCTAACAAGATCGCTTGTTGAATCGCATACTATCCTTAGCCAATATTTTATTATTCTGCAATATCTTGTTATTCTTAATGGAAAACGACCTAGCTCACCATAAACAAAGTTATTTTGTGTTGTAGTCTTTACATATAATAATCTTTTACAAAACTTAAGGTGTACACGTTCAATATCCCCAGCCGAATGGAAGCCCCATACCTCACTACCGTAGCAAAGCACGGGCATTACCAATTTATCAAATAAATCACATATATGTTTGGGCGATAAATTAACAAAACGTTGTAAATATTTTTCCATTTTGAATATAGATTTAGTAGCTTGGCCAGCCAGAGTTTTCTGAGCCTCATAAAATGAACCCCCCGATGTAAAAACAATGCCCAAAAACGAAAACCTATTCACTATCTCTATTTCTCCGCCGTCATAATAAAATCTAACGTCGCTTGCGACCCGTCCGCCTTTTCTAAATATCATAACCTTAGTTTTATTTACATTCAGTTTTAATTTCCATGTGTTACAATACACTTTCAGAATGTCTAATCCGTGTTGTAACTGTATAGCAGACTCGGAAAAAA